TTTCTCCAGCTTCTGAAATTTGTAGCTTGTTTCTACTGTTAAACTTGCTCTTTGATAGTTTATAACCAAAAGTAACACATGAAAGTATCAAAATATCTTTCCCATCTATATAATTTTGAGATGGTAGACTTTTGTGTATTTTGCTCAGGTGTTAACAACCTGATTTAAGAAGTTGGTTTTCAAGAAGTAAACTCAAGAGTGATCTTTTTTCCTGATGTCACACAGCTTCTTGTTCTTGGCTGAATTTCTTCTGTAGCTTGATTAAGTCAGGAAGAAAGGGAACTTAGGACGTATGACAGTCTCTGACCTTTGACAAACTCCTGTGACGTCACAAGCTCCAGAGCGAGCACAAAAAAGAACTCGCTCACTATGCTAAGCCCAAGAATTTCTCAGCGACAGGCCATGTGCACCTCCTCCAGGAAGCCCGCTTTGATCTCCCTGACTCACACGCCTGTTCTCTTATTTTTACTAAAAGTGCCACACTGGATGCAACTCAGCCGCAGCACAGAGCACATGGTTCTGTAACTTCCCACACAGGAGTCTGCATCTGCTGGGACTGGAAGCTCCTGTGGGCGGGGATGGCACCCATCGAGCAAGGACTGCCTCTCCAGTGCAGTTCCTGACTTGCAGGGGAAGCCTCGCTCGGCTGTTTGAGAATGAATAAACGAACGATTGGTGTCTACAACAGCCCTTCCAGAGGACTCATTCCCTGGGGCCGTGGGCTCCTAGCACTCCCACAAATCCAGGTCAGCCCACAGTTCTGAAAGGAGGACCCTGCTTGCTGGGCCTGCCTCCAGCCCAGGCAGTGATCTTATGGACCTGGTTCCAATTATCCTCTACACCGCAGACCAGGGTGACAGTAACCCCTCAGATGCACAAGAGTAGAAGACAGGCCTGCCCGGGGAACAGAAGCGGCCTTTCCCAATGGTAACAGGAAACGGAAGCACTGGAGCCACCAGGATCCCAGGGTCCAGGGGGCCGTCAGCAATTGAGTTGCCTGGGCTCGGAGGTCTCTCGTTTAAGAGGAATTTTTCTCTAGGGACACAAAGTAAGTTCCACTGTGTGCATGAGAGGAATAAACTTTGCTCTCCGCAAAGCACTCTTCTGGTGGAGTCCTGGCTTCCTCCTCATCTGGCGCTGGGCTCTGATGGCTTCACCTTGGTCCTCCCCTGCACCTGCAGAGACATCTCATGAGGTCTCACCTGCCACCCTTCAGTTCTCCTGTCCTCAGCTGCTCCTGAGGCCAGCTTGGCTCTAGGGTGACTGCTGTGGGCAAACAGCCACAGTAGCCAGGAAGGGAAAGCGTCACCAGGCCCAGGCCACACAGGCGCTTCTCAGCAACACGGATCCATCAGCCATCATGGAGCTCTGAATCCCCGGATCTGTGTGGGGATCAGGGGGCGGGGCTCGGGAGCAGCCGGGGGTCTCAGCACCCTCGTACCTGAGGAACCCTGAGTCCAGAGGCTTTGAGGAATCCAGAAGCTCCCCACCAGCTGCAGTTCACACGTGGCCCACCTGAGACCCTGTGTCCCGTTCCCTATGTGTTCTTTCTGTTCTCATCTCCTCGGATGTGCAGTCCTGGGGGCTGAACCAGGGCCTTCGCCCTGAGCTGGATTCTTAGCCCTTTTCATTTTTTCTTTCGAGATAGCGTCTCACCAGGTTGCCTGGATTCTCCCCCTGATGCAGTGCTAGTCCCGTCTTTCCTCTCTTCGCCATGCTTGGTTCCAGAACAGAGGACACTTCCACTCTTCCGTGACAACCACGATCTTCCAAGGGCCGCCTCTCGCCCTCCCAGTGTCAGGCACCCTCCGAGCCACTCTCTGCTTCCTCTGCTGATGTCTCCTGAGCACACTTTGTGGTGGCGCAGTGAGTGACAGTAGGGCCCATCTTCACCTGAATGACACCTGACCAGGAGGCCATGGCCCCCAGCTCCACTTCTCAGCACCGGAGGCAGAGCTGGCCAGGGAGGGACAGCGCATTCTCCCTCCTCGCTCCTGAGATCTCGGGACGTGGATGTGGGCTCCTCTCTGCTCCAGGTTCTCTGCAGGGACCACCAGTCCTGCCGCCCATGACAGGATGCTGCGGGGACAGAGACTGAGAGGGCCACAGGGGAGGGAGAAGGGGGACAGGGACGCCCGAGATGCTGACAAAGTGAAACCGGAAACCAGGGTTGCAAGTGGGGCTCCCCGAACACTGGGGGGATTTTCTCACACAGGGTGAAGAGGACACCTTCACCTTCAGAAAAGGTACGTGACAAAAAGGAATGGCAATAGCTAGGACTCATAAAAAAAAGAAGATGCGTGATACATTTTTGGGTACAAGTCAGCTCAGCTTCAGCTTTTACATCAAGATCAGTAATGTTCATCAGGAAGAACAGTGACCTTGGAACAAGACTCTCAAGTACTGAAGTACACTTTTCCATAATTTTCTTTCGTATGTTTTTGAGACAGAGTCTTGCTAGCTATGTAATTCAGGCCAACCCTGAACTTACTATGGAGCCCAGGCTGGCCTCCAGTTCATGGTGATCCTCCTGCCTCAGCATCCCCAGTGCTGAGATTATAGGTGTGTGCCACCACATCTGGCTTTTTTATCATTCTTGTGACAAACAGTTGGCTAAGGATGTTACAGTGCCCGCTTCGGGGAGCCTTCCACGCAGAAGTAGGGTGTGGAGAGGGCTGCAGCACCCAGGGGCAGGACCAGGTGCAGGGATGGCGTTCTGCAGCATCCTCTGCGATGTTACTTGGTCTGTGCCGACGGGTCCTCTGGAGGAAGGGCTGGTCTTCCTCCCGGAAAGAAGCCCCAGGCCACATCAGGAGCGACTGGCAGCGTCCTTAGATTAGATTCATTCTGAAGAGTTGTGATCTCAGAAAACCTGCAGATCTGTGATCTGACTAACGTGGGGAGGTGGAACGAGATCGAGGGGCTCCACGAGCAGAGGGCCCCGGGATCAGGGCGCAGGGGCAGGAAAAGCACATGTGCCACAGACCTGGCACACGTCAGCCATCGACAGCCAGACAGAGAGGTGACGGCCATGCCCATGTCACAGATGCAGAAAGCTAAGGTCAAAGAGCTGAAGGTGACGCCCCACGATGTGAAATTTGATACCAAAACCCGCCGGAAGATTTCCATGGGGAAAAGTGCTTGACATTTCAGCACCAAGTGGAGCTGTAAGAGCTCAGCAGGCAAAGCCACCTTGTCAGTCAGGAACCAAGTGTCCCGCAGGCTGATGTCCTCCTGAGAAACGCCGCATACACCCGTCTGCCCCTCAGGACGGAACCAGGCGTCTGAGTGCGGGAACTGTGGGGGCTTCGCCCTCTGTCTCTTCGGGACCTGCTGGTCACTCTGTCAGTTCAGAGCACACTTCTTCCCACGGTGAGGAGAGGGCAGGAGTGCCTGAGGGTGACCACGAGTGTGGGGACAGGAGAGTCACACTGAGGCTTTCGGGGATGCACAGTGCTGATGGTTTTAAGCAGGGAAGTGGCGCGATTGGTTTGTGCTTTAGAAAATTCCCCTGGGAGCGAGAGGTGCACAGAAGGCAGGACAGGGCCCTGGAGGCCACGACAACGGTCCAGAGGACAGTGTGAGCATGGAACGGACGGGGCCGGGGCAGCGGTCAGCAGGAGGGCTAAGGCCAGCAGGACCTGGTGACTGACCAGATGCCAGAGGGATGGGAGGAAGAAAGGCTCCCGGACACTCGGACGCCGCTAGGGCTACACGTAGAGACTAGGCCCCCAAGCACACAGCCCAACTCCCCCGCCAAGTCAGCAGCCCTGTGGATAAAAAGGGAAGGACCCCACGACGCAGACATGAAATAGTGACTGCTCATCAACACCGGAGTGAGATTAGCCATGGTTACCAGTGAAGGAAAACACTGGCTACAATACCTGCAGTTAACCAAGTAAGTCTCTATGCGATATCTGAAACTAACAGGAAAAAATGAAGCCCATAAATCCTTCTCAGGAGACGCAAAGCAGCTGTCTACACATTAGCCTCCCCGGAGCGGCAGCCTGGTGCGGGACGGGCACCTTGAGGACCCTGCGTGTGGGGGCGCTTCTGTTCCCGCGTTGTTGTTTTCCGTCCCCTCCCCGCCTTTTTAATCTGGCAGATTTGCCCCTGGTCAGTAAGAAATGGCTGAGAAGAACGAGTTAGGGGTGAGGGGATGGAGACTCGGGGGCGGAGAGGGCAGAGAGGTCAAAGCGCATCCGCGCGGCACAAAAGCCGTGAGGGTTGAAAGCACTGATTTGGCTTTGGTGAGGTTTCCTCCGTGGGATCTGCGGGCAGGAAGGGTCACGAGGACCAGAGTCGCTTACCATGTCTCAGATGTAGGCAGCTGTCAATCTGGGACCTGTACCTGCAGAAAATTGTGTCTTTAACAAACGTTTCTGAAGAGGTTTCCGCACATTCCAAACACGCAGTAGCTACAACATCGCGCGGGCTCATTTGCTTTGCTGTTTCTGTTCTCATGCCAGCCATTCGTGTGTGTGCGGGACATGGAGTGGCTTTATTCTTAATGCCAGAAAAACAGGGGCTAACATGGCACTTTGTTGACGTGTCAAATCAGTGCGTGAGAAAGAGCAGCCCTACAGTCGTGGTTTCCAGTCTTAAAAACCCAAATCAGACAAAAGACCCAGCCAGGGATATGGGCAGCATCTCGTGTAATTATTATAAAGAATTACATAGTGCAGGGCAAACAGAAAAAAAGCAGAAGGGTTAAAGCAAAGAGAATACAAGCAACAGGAAAAAAAAAACAGAGAGGGGGAGAAAGCGAAATCAACCACAGTCCCTGACCAGGACTGCAGATGACAGAGTGGGAGAGGTTTTCACACATTCACAGGGACCTTCACACAGCCACAGTGACAAGAAAGAGCTCCTCAGAGAGCGCCGGGAGGAGAGGCAGAGTTGAGGAACACACGTGACAGTCACAGGCTAAGCAGCACGCACGCGTGACAAGGCGCTGGGCGGAAGCATGGGCGGTGGCCGCAAGGGCCTGTGACACCTACCTGATGCAGACTCTTGCAGCTTCTCTCTCTTCCTCTTCTTCTTCTTACCCTGGAAGGAGAGGGGCACAGTCAGGGCAGCGTGCAGCAGGACCCGGGGGCAGACGCGATGGGAAAGAGCACAGGGAGGTGACCGCCCCTCCACTCTCACCCCGTTTCCAGAGGCCGTCAGGGTGAGAGGAGAGACCACTAGGTCTCGTGTGTCCTGTCCACACTGTCAGCACGGACACCCTGTGCACCTGTCTCTCCACCTCTGTCACAGAACAGAGCCCCCGAGCTGCAGCCTTGTGAACAGCCAGGTTCGGGAGGGGAACCTGCCCTTACTAACACCACACTCGGAACCAGCTCGCAAGAGCTCAGGCTCAACAGTGACAGAGCCACGCGTCCAGCGAGTCCCGGCCTCCTGGGGCAGAGCACAGCTGACTTGTCTGAGTAGGGGATGAGCAGCCTCCTCGGGAACTGCAGCTCCAACAGTGCACATCTCACGCCTGATTCTCTAGCTTATGTCTTCTGCACTAATCACACCAACAGATCACAAGAAACCTAGCTGTCAGGTTGCCAGGGTATGTTGCACGGCTCTATAAACACGCATACGCCGGTTTCTCTTCACATTACAGCCATGGAGGCTGCGAAGCTTTAGAAACTTGACCAAACCTCTTCCTGAATGCCCCAGTTACCCAAGGGAACCAAAACTGTAAAACCTGGGATCTGGTGGCACAAGACATTTGAATAGAAGACCACTGAGACATGTGTCTACTGCGCTATCAGGATGGCAGTTGGGATTTTAATATACACTCTTGTCCTGTCCTGCTACTTCAGGAACAGTATCTTTGGCTAAAGTGCCACCATGTGACCGAGCCCAGCCTGCCTTCCTGGTTGAATAAAGACTGCAGGAATGAAGCTGAGTGCTCCGTTTATTCAAGGCGCATGCAAAACAATTCCTTAAAAATTGTGTAGAGAAGACTTTAAAGGTAAACTCATGTTGCACTAGCTTTAAGACTACTTTCTCTTCAAGCCAGGCACTGTGGTGTATTGGAGTAATCTCAGCTCTTGGGAGGGTGAGGCAGGAGGGTTGCCTGGCTACAAGACCTTAATCCTGGCCAGCCTGGATTATACAGTAAGACTGCTTAGAGAAAAAAATTACTTCCTTTTCATATCTACATAGGGAGAAGAGGTGAGAGAGCAAAACAGAAAAAGGGAGAGAGTATGCGTGCTTCTTTTACATCTTTTTAAAAGTTAAACTCACCGCTTAAGGATCACAAGAGACATCTAAGACAGCAAGCAATACACAGTCCCTGCCAGTTCTCGGCACAGTGGGGCTGTGCATAGGGGAGGGAAGGGCAGCGCTCTCTCATGACGCCTGGGACAGGATTAGAAGCAGTGCTGGCAGCCGTGTAAAGGGCCACCCTCCCACTGCGGGGCACCGCAGGCTGCACGGGGAGCTGGAGATTGTGGCTCGGAGCTCAGGAGCCTTACAGTCTCAGGCGGGGTCTCAGTTCCAGCCCTGGTAGCGGTTATCAGAAACACACTGCACAGCCCCTGCCGCGTGGGTTTTGGAGGTTGGGGTCTTAGGTGGGGCACGTGGGCTTTGACGTGGATCTTTGTCACCAACTCTGGGGCCTGGAGCCCCATGGGACCATCTACAGCAAGGACCACAAGTTAAATTAATCCTGAGTGACAGCTTCATCTTTACTCTTTTTTAAATTTTTCTTTTTTTAAACTTTTGGCCTGAGACGCAGTCTTGCTTTATAGTTCACACTCACCTTGAACTCGCTATGTAGCCCAGGCTGCCTTCAAACTCACAGAGATCTTCCTGCCTCAGACTCCCAAGTGCTGGGATTATAGGTGTGCACCACCATGCCTGCCCTTACCTTTTCTGGAAAGGACAGTTTCATTTATACTAAGGCTGTCCTGGCTGGCTTTCCCAGTGTTAGTCTCACATGGGCTATGAGAAATGCCGCAGACGGAAAGTGTGTTCCCACAAATCCTACCCCAAATAAAAGGGGGTAAGTAGCAGCCTCGAGGTGGTGATTAGGGTTCAGCCCCTCAGGAAGCTATCCACTCCATCACTGTTCCACAGGGGAACAAAGCAAGAAGATGGAGTGGCTGTCACCAGACGTAGACGTCGCTGTGCCTGGTGTTACAGTTCTGTATCCAGGACCGTGAGGGGGACATTTCTGTGGTCTCTACGCCCTCCACCTACCGTACTCTGCTACTGCAGCCTGCACAAACTAAGAATGATCTTCAAAATTTTAAATTATTCTAAGAGCTCAGAGAATCAATTATTATTTTCTATAAAATGATCAAACTTCAAATATATCATTTGAAATATGCTTCCTAAGCAACAGTCCTCGCCACATCAACACAGCATTCGTGAGATGCCCAAACTACACAGCAAGGAAAACGGGCAGCAGAAATGAGGTAGCTCTTGCCAGTAAACGAAACTAGTACAGATTAACCCGCTGATACCTGCTCTGTCTGAATAAGGTACAGGACAGCTGCCAGGGTGCATTAATATAGAATAAAAATTGTGTACAGTTCTGATTCATCTGTGGCCAAAAAAAAAAAAAAAATCATCTGAATACACTGTTTACAGGAACTGTAAAGTAATTTAATCCCTTGGAAAGAAATTTGACAATATATGTCAGGAACTTTAAAATATTTATATCCTTTAATACAACAATTCCGCGGCTACAAATCTATCCTACAGGGGAAATCTGTTGGAATAGACATGCTCATTGCAGGATTATTTGTATTTTGAAGGTGAAAAAATAGAAAATTTAAGTGTCTAAAAGCAAAACGAAATGCTGAACTAAAGTATGACATTCATGGAATAAAACATTGATATACATACATAAACACTATGCTATAAAAGATGAACGCTTCATATATATATATATATATATATATATATATATATACACACACACACAAAGAAGTATGACACAAAATACATGTGTATACACACTTACGTCCAAGTAAAAAATAAAAATTATCTGAAAAAAATCCTGGAATTTAAGGCAAACAGTTACAAGTATTGTCTTTACATGGTGAGATTATGGGCTTTTCATTTGTTTTTCATCTTTTTTAACCTACACTTATTTTCATGATAAAGTTATGTTTTGATTTTTAAAAGGCTTTATTTTTTAAAAGTGCATTAGCACTCCCAGCAAAACAGTCCCAACAGCTTACAGCTCTCATGATACAGTACAAGGGTGCCCGACACCTGCACTGCAGAGTTGTCAGTTTGCAAACACAGGAAGGAGGTCCGCTGTGGAAGGCGGGAGAGGGTAGGGTGGGAGTGGCTTACGTAATTGTCTCTCGCAGACCAGCCCGGGTACAGCTGCATGTGGAGCTGTCTCTCCTTGCGCGCTAATTCATAATATTTAGCCTGCTCTTCCCGAGACAGGGCATGCCACTGAAACAGAAAGCAGGGAAGAGGTGGGTGAGCAAAACGGCAGTGGTGTATGCATGCTTCAAAGGGGGAAAGCTGCAATGATTAAGCAATGGAACTTCCATTTATTTCTAAACAGCAGGAGACCAAGGGCTGGTGCGGGAGGAAAGGCCCAAGTGGGCTTCTCTGTCCTGTTCTCTGATGTCCCATGAGACACATCACAGCCGCATAGTGAGATGAGCTCTCCAGCAGTGTGAAGTAGAAAGAACTTGGCTGGTGAACCTCAACCCCCAGCCGTGCCCCTTCCCCGCGCTGGTTGGGACGCTGGTGTCCGAGCCCCAGCACCGTTTATTCCTGCGAGCGGTCGTAATTTCCAGACATCTAGGACAGCCATACCTCTCCTGCTCCACACTCCTGCTCAGTCTTGGGATGCAGGAACTGCATGGTGTGAGCCTGTCTGGCAGGACACCAGAAGTCAGTATGTCTGTCTCTGTGTCCTCACTGTGTCTTCCCACTCACACACACACACACACACACACACAAATACACGTGCGCGTGCAGTCTACTGGGCATGCTGACATCTCTGTCCACGTGCATAGTACACTTCTGGCTTTGGCTTTTTGCCTCCTTCTGATGGGAAGCTGGCAGCGTGACCTAAGTGTGCCCTGGCACACAGGAGTGGAGACTGGCTTCTGACAGGGAGCGGGTGTGCTGTCCCTGCTTTTCAAGCTCTCTCTCCCAGCGGGCGTGCTTCTGTATCACAAATAACAAGGTAGCTCATGCAGGTGGCACTGGGAGGTATGCGTTACACACTGCTCTGAACACCTGTGCACACAGCTTGTGCAGGTCCCAGGCAGACTCCTCAGTGTCCCGATGCCAGGTGTCTGCCCTATGTCCCGATGCCACACAGCCTTCAGGAACTGGCCAGACCCGGGCACCCAGTGGCCGCGGCAAGAGCTTGGTGGTGGCAGCTGAGGCAGAAGGAGACCTGAGCCTGAACCTCAAGCTCCTCATCCACAGCCCCAGCTCTTGGGCATGGGCTTTCCCACGCTGCTTCCTGCCCAGCCTTGGCCACCTTGCAAAAGATTTTATTCTTGTTTCTAAAAAATGATTTAAGACAGGAAAAGCCAGCATGGTGGCGCATGCCTGGAATCCCAGCACGCAGGAGGCTGAGGCAGGAGGATCAGTGCAAGTTGGAGGGCAGCCTGGGCCTAGAGTACAAGTGAGACTCTGTTCCACCCCCCGCCAATTTTGTTTTTAAAATAGGGTTAGAAGATAGGGGTGAGATGGGGAAGGAAAGGGAGGAGGAGGGAATGGTAGAGGCGGATGAGGGAATCGGTTCCCCTGAAGGAGACCACATGGAAGTGTGCATCCACTGGGGCTTCACCCTGAGCGTGTGGGGGAGCCAGAGGCTCTCCTGGGACGGCAGGGCCCGGCTCTGCTCTGACAGCAGGACTGGAAGCTGGGCAGCAGTGGCTTCCTCCAAAAGCCCTCATGAGCCAGGCTCTCTGCATGGTGCAGGCGCATTTGTTTTTTAATTACAAGTGCAGAGGGGAAGCTGAAAAGCAAGGCCCAAGGGTGGGACCCCATGTGAACCCCAGTGCAAAGCAGGCAACAGCTATTCTCTGGTTGACAAAATAAGATGGAAGGAGGAGGCCGAAAAGAAAAGCAACTCTGAAGAGAAAAAGCTAAGTACAAACCAGATCTCTATGCTAGAAGAAGAAACAAAGTTGGTCTGATAGAGCCTTAAAACAGCCTGGGTGGCCAGCATGGAGGCTGAGGCAGGAAAATCCCCACAGCCTACAACCACTGACAGCCCTGCTGAGAAACCGAACACCACCGGTACCAGGCTGCCCAGCAGAACGGGCCGGAAAACACAAATCACTTGTATTCCCACCCTTACCTCTGTTTTGAACAAACAGGACTGGCAAGAGGAAAGGAGCTGCCCAAAAGGAAAACAACCAAAAAGTCAGAAAGACAACAAACCCAAGAAAGAAGTCCTCCATTTAGAATTTGTTCATTCTTTGGACAGGTGCTCTTCCCTGTATGCAGCACCTTTTACTACTGAAATACACAGGATGATTCTGTGTGACTGATGGCAGCTTCAGAACTTGCTGAGAAAACCAAGAATCATAAATAAAAATTAACTCCCCTGAAAAGGAGAAGAAACCTTTTCTCCCTGTGCCATTGGGCATTGGGTATTTTGTCTCAGCAACTAAGACATTTTCGTTAGCAGTTGCCTCAGTGTGCTGATATTTCTAATCCACAAAACCTACTCACAAATAAAAGATCATTGACAGAGGGAAATACTGGGAATAAAGCCAGGCTAGGAAGGTGGTCTTTCCTTACAGGAGTTTCTAAAATGCTTCTCCACCTCTTTACTTTCTGAAAAATACAAAGTTTTTAAAACATCAAACTTCATGATCAATGTTTTAGCCAAACTGTGGTGAGAAATGCTCATTTAAATTTTAAAAAACTGATATGGTTCCCTAAGACTTTCTGACCATAAACTTGTGGCACACAGACTTCCTGAAGAGCCCTAAAAGTCTGAAAAGTAAAAGCTAATGTAAAAATAAGATGTATGCCACCTGTATTTATAGTATGAACTGAGAAAACTTGGATTAATTCACAGGAAGGAACATTTCTTTCTTAGAGAGACAGTAAGGATGAGTAAAAAAAAGATAAAATGTTCCGGGATGGCTTTAAGATCCACTTTTAAGAACTCTAATCATCCCAGGGTAAAACTTCAGGAGGGCTGAAGCCAGAACTTTGAAGAGCTCGAAAGATCAGCCCCGCCGGGGGGAGTGAGAAGGGTTAGAAAACCTGACCTTAATCAAAGTGCTCAGAGGCTATAAATAGAAGCAGGTGTCTAAATCAAAGACAGAGCAGGACCCCAAATGAGAACCATCCTGGAGCACACAGGCATGGGTCTGGGATGGTTTAGGGAGCTGAGAAAGTAGCAATTGTTGGAACCGAGCACTAAAAATAGGAAGTATACTCCAAGTCATACCTCACGTGCTCCCTTGAGCAGGAAAGTAATTCCTGCTGGAAGGCCAGGGGCCTCGGGCTCAAAGGAGAAAGAAGAAAAAGCTAAGTGTTATATGAGCTGAAATAAAAATGTCAATCTTTCTCATCCTCTGATTTCTTCTTTGAAAGTGTCAGGGAAAATGGTCATCGGCGCGTGGGGTTTTAAGGTGAAGTTCTTCAAAGATGATGGGATTCGTTCACCTGCTATGATCTGGCTTGGGAAATCGCTGTAATTATCGTTATTAAGTGTTTAAGAATCCGCAGGGAGGTGGGACATCAGACCCAGGACACCAAAAAAACTATAATCTACCGCCGCACCCTGCGCCGGGAACCCTGGTGTCTGGCAGATTGGAAATCGCCTCAGTTTGCGGCTCACCTCTGGGAATCGATAACTTGGGATTTCTGCTTCTGGCCCCATGCACTGGCTGCTGTCCCTCAGCGTCCACCCTTAGGAGCACGCAGATATCCTGGGCTTGGAACAAATGGTGAAGACCACAGGGGGCTGACACACCCGGGCTCCTCTGCACCCACAAGGGTGTCAGAAACACACAGGTGAGGGTGAGCAACAAGGGAAGCTACCGCCAGCAGAGGAAGTGCAGCGGGGGGACGGAAAAGGGACCGACAGGTGGAGGGAGAGGAAGGGGCCATAAAAAGAGCGAGGGTGTGCCAGGCGCATGGCCAGCTCCGCTCTGGGATGGGGTCACTATGCTCTCCAACACACACTCATAGCATTTTTTTAAAGGTGAAAAACCTCTAAAATGAGAACATAGTTACTGTGAAAGCATCACTTGAATTAGACAAACACATTTATCTTGCAGATCTTCAGATACCTAAGCAAAATTGTTTCAAATTCTGCCCTCAGGATGGTCTCTGTCCGGTTACACGTGACCGGAAGGGTCCGAGAGCCACCTGTCTAGGAACGAGACCTCTCTGGCTCCTATTGGGGCGTCCCTTTATCCTCACCACAGACCGGTTCTGCCTGCCCAAGGCTGCCTGTTCCCAGGGTTCAGCTTAGCGTGTGTGTTGTGGCTCAGTGGGGCCCCCACGGCGCCCCACAGGCCGGCTGTTCTTACCCATGAACTTTCTGGTTACAACCACAGGATTTTTCACAAACTATGTATTTATTAGGTGATGATTCACGGTCTATATCCTGTCACCAGACCTTATGCTCCAGAGAAGCAAGGACCACATCTATGTCATTACCTAACGACACACATCATGCGTGGCACATAAAGACATATTTGTTTAAAGAATGGCAGCAGCCCAGACGTGGTGGCGCACACCTGTAATCCCAGTGCGTGGGCTGAGGCAGGAGGATCGCTGTGAGTTTGAGGCCAGCTTGGGCTACACAGTGAGTTCAAGGCCAGCCTAAACTACACAGTGAAGCCCTATCTCAGACAAAAAAGAAAACAAAAAAGAAACGAAAAACAGTTACGGGTTCCGGGAAGCTCTCTGCGTGCGGAGCACAGCCTTGTCCCAGGGCTCTCTGTCATCGACCCCCCAGTGTAGCCATACTCTGGGCATCCTCCCTTCCCCCTGGGCCTGCTGCTTGTCCGCACATCCGATGCCACCTAACAGGCCACTAGCTGCGGGCAGACAAGCAGGAAGCACCCTGGTTACTGCGTGCACCCCTCTCTGCGCCTCTACTTACCCTCCTGCCGAGGATCTGGTTGATGGCCGCGCTCTCCTTCAGCGTGCACTCGGCAACCACGTTGGCCCTCATCTCTTTCATGTACAACATGAATGCATTCAGAGGCTTCTTAATGTGAGGTCTTTTTGGCTCCTGCTCCTTTCTCTGTTCGTGCTGAGGCTTCCTAAAAGGCGGATGGGGGAGTGGAGAGGGTGAGGACAAGGCAGGAGGAAGGAAGGCGGGGCGTCTGGTTCACAGGAGAACCCAGCAGGCCTGGAGCCCCAAGGACAGCGCCCAGCCCTGGGGTAGGAAAGCGCAGGGCTCTGTCCCAGGGTGAGGGGCCCCCTCTGCGAGAGTGCCTCTCTAGCTCCCCAAGCACTGAACGAACAAATGGGCATGGGGGGGCATCCCCGTCACCTCAGCCCCATGATTCCTCTTTCAGAACACAGGTTCCTAAGGGCTGGGGGCCAAGGGCCTCGTCGAGAAGTTCATGAGACTTCTGACTCTTCCCCCAAACACACACACACCGCTGCTGCCTGTGCACACATCAGCAGAGGCTTCATGGGCCCGCACATGCTGCTGCCGCACCTCCCCCCCCCCTCCCCCGCAGGACTCCAGATGACCAGGCAGCTAGGTTCCTGCTTCTCCAGGCTAAAGGAGCCACCTGCCCTCGCAGTCCGAGGCAGGGCCAGTCTGCAGGGACCCTGGGCTCTGCTTGTGGCTCTTCCTTCAATTCTGTGCTGCAGGAGCCACAAACTGGGGTCAGTGCGTTTCCAGGAGGCCGTGGGGCAAACCTGCTCAGCTCCTTCACTCAGACACTCTCCGGGCCTCTCGCTTTCCAGGCTGAATTCAAACCCAGTGGGGTTCAGTTCTGCAGCCTGCTCAGAACATTCCCCATCCTGGAAAGGCTCCCACCACCTCGCAAGGCCACTGACCTCTTGGTCTCAGGACCTGCCCCATGCTCAGGGACACAGCCTTCCAGGCACACGGAATGCACTACAGCAGAGAGGGGAAGATGACAGGAGGAAGGGACAGTGCGCCCGCCTACTTACACGTGCATTAGGTCACTGTCGGTGTGGGGGTGCTCCTGTTTGACCTGAGGTGTGACAATAGCTGGATGAGGGATGCCAGTTGTGTGGGGACCGGGAGGACCAGGGATCATGTGATGGGAGAACCTACGAGGGGGACAGAGAAGACAGCAGTGTGTGCCGTGGGCCCCAGCGGCCGGCGCCAGGCGCAAGTGGCTACCGGGGAAGGCACGGCTTTCCTTAGCGGGTGAACTACGCCTTACAGAGGGCTAACAGTTGTTTTTTTCTTTCTGTATTTAGCTGAAAAATTATAATTATTCTGTGTATTTTTTTTTTTTTTCAAACTAAGAGTAGAACTTGACACTTCTCCTGGGAAGGTAGGAGGTCACAGGATGAGAGAAAGAAAAAAAAAAAAAGAATCATTTTTCTTGCAAAGCAGTTTTCAAGTAAAAATGTAAATAAAATTATGAACCTATATAGCATTTCATTAAGGTTAATTTTCAAGTGGCTGGTCAGTGTAAGCTAGAGGAGTCTCATTTAAAAACCTCTGCCTACATCCGCAAACCACTGCGCGAAGCTTTCTCACGTTGTTGGCCTCTGTGTTCATGTCAGACATTAATGTCTACGTCATTAGTAACAGGGGCAAGTAGGAAAGGGACAGGAAGGTTTTCTTTTAGTTTCCCATTTAATCAAGCTTCCATTCTCAGCTTCCAAAATGTCCTATGAAGGTGCAGTCATGTCTGAGGGTTCTACAGTTATGGAAACCTGGTAAGAGTTAAGGGAAAGATTTCATTACAGGGAGGTATACAGTTTTGCATCAAGGTAAAAACTATGTAAGCTAAAAGCTTGTACCTGATGATGCTTGTACAGCACTGCTTAAAATACCTGCCACCAGCTAACACAAGGGAAGAGAACTGCCATGCAGGAAAAATAATGCCATACTCTCAACAAGAGCTCTGCAGCGATGTGGCTATGCCTTAGAGATTCTTGCTTTTCAAACTGTTTTAAAGTAAACCTTAAATTCCACAGAGACAACAGTCTCAGGTCTTTCATCACAGCCTATACCATTACTTCCTTCATCTAAGAAGGAACTCTGCCTGGATATGTAATATTCCAGAAAGAAATTTCTTTAACTATTAAGGAGGCATGGTAAAAATACAAGTATTTGGCCAAATAATGATGCACTGCTACATGTACTATTTTTAAAAATACATGACTAAAAATCCTGTCATTCGACAGTTCTTACAGCATCACAAAGTGTAAAAAGGTACTTTAGGGGGTAGAATACTAATTCCATTCCCCTACCCCAGCCAGCTAGATTGACAACTCAGTAAACAAATCGTACATATGTGTATGTACACACATACATGCATATTTTTTCTTTCTTTTTCCTTTAAAGCCGAAGTTCACCGAGAAACGGCAAGCTTCACACCCCTTTGAAAAAGACTGGCAGCCTGCTGAGGCCCACGCGCCGAGACCCTGCGGGGGACACTCGCTCCCTGGAAAGCCACGCCGCACACAGACAGGCACAGGAGTGTGTGCACCAGCAGGTGCGCCGTCCTCTCCAGAAGCAAAGCATCACACAGACCACCTGCAGGCACACAGACGGCGTCGTGGCCTTGCCTGCACTTAAAGCGGGTCCACACACGCCTTGAGTTGCACACTAGGATGAACGCGCACGCACGCCACCGCCTGTGGCCCTACCCCCGCGGTCCCAGGCCATTTGCAAACACTGCTGCGTTACACAGATTCAACTCTGCTCAGCGGAAGCCAATCTCAGGAAGCTCAGGCCCAACTGTGTGAGTTCCAGCCCCTCCTGCCCCAGGATGGCGAGTCCAGCGAGCTCCTCTGGCCACGCCCCCTCCGGGGACTTCCGGGTGACCACAGTTCCCCAGGTGGAGCTGCTGCCCGTGCAGTCGCCCCTCGGTGGCACCTAGGGTGGGAGCCAGGCACACAGCACACACACACAGGCGGGAAGGCGCCCTGCTGGCTGGGGCTGGGGCAAGCGGGGTGCAGGATGCAAGCATGAAGGCCACCCCACCTACCTGGACATGGAGGTGTCGACCGACAGGGAGGATGGGTAGGGCTGCCTGAATCCACCCGAGATGGGGTAAACAGGCTGACCTTGCCTGAGGTCACAGAAGAGAGGAGCCGTCAATGACGCAACACCGTGACCACCCAGCACCAGAGTGGGGGAGGGGCGGCATCAGTGGGTGTCACACACCTGTCCCCCACCCGATCAAAGTTCTGAGAGCCTGGAAGAGAGCTTTCCCCCTCTCCACTAGGGAAGCAAAGAGCCCAGCAATACTTGTCTTTGTCCCTCCTCTCTCTGCTCTGAAGAAAGTAGGCCCTTCATAAGCTTACTGAAGTGGGGCACAGTGGTCCATAGCTGCAATCCCAGCACTCAGGATGCTGAGGCAGGAGGGCTGCCCTGAGTTCGAGGCCAACCTGGGCTCCATAGTGAATTCAAGACCAGCCTGGACTATATAGTGAGACCCTTTCTCAAGTAAACAAAAGCTTCCTGACTACAACTCAGCCCTAAGAATGATGAACTATCCCCTTCAGCTTAGTAAACTGAGAATCTTTGAGAATGTCAGAGAAGGGAGGAAAGGAGGATATAAAATTTTATATTTACATGAAAATGACTAAACATTACAGAGACACTGCCCCTTTATCCCCTTCTATCCACATGGTAGAGTCTAGAAATTAAAGAGTAATTCAAGGGTTATTTCTCTCCACCCCAAGAAATCCAGCCTTCCCTCTGTTCTTTCTGCTTCTCACTTTTTTCATGTACTCAGTCTGTGTCCAGTCGCCTGAGAGAAACCTCAGCCAGGATCCCTGCCCTCAAGGCGCTAAGTTCAGACAGAATCCAAGATGGAGGTCTGAAAGTGCACTGCGATCTGGACCCCATGGCCCTCCCCTGCTGAGGGACAGATGCTGAGCGTCCAGGTGGGAGACAGGGCCAGCCTGTGGCGTCGTGGGAACACCAAGCCAATGGGAGAAGAGATGCTGAATGAAGTCAAGATGCTGAATGAGGGGCAAGTGGAGAGGCGAGGGGTGGGGTCTGCAGCCAACCCGGGACATGGAGGTGTCTCGTGACAGCGGGTAGGGACAGGCTACACACCCCCTCTCCTTCTTTCCACCACATATTTCCCTTACGTCGAGGAGTTTATAAAACTCGAGGGGAGCAGTAAAAATGTGTTTGGGAATAAACAACCATTACGAAGAAAGAGGAATAGTATTTGGATTCTGAACAAAATGAAAGCCCCTGAATCGACATTTTGCTCCTCTGAACTGAAATCGGCTGCATTCTTTATTCACATCGAAAAGATGCTTTCGTTTCGCTGAACCTGAACCTCTCCCTGCTCGGGCATCGAGTGCGCGTTTGCCCACTTACAGGCAACGTAGTTACACAATGTGCCCAAGTTCATGTTTCAAACGTGTAAGTTGTTATAAAAAAAAAAAAAAGAACCTAGAAAAAGCAAAAAGCCACCCTGAGTGCTAACTTTGAATAGGCAGAGTGAGCGCCCAAAGCCACAAATCCACTCCGTAAAACTATAAGCTTCAAAGCAAAGGCTACACGGTCATTTTCTACCCATATTAGCAAACGAATTCAATCCATTTCAAAGTCTATGTTTCTTAATCTTTCAAATTGAAATGAAAGAAACTTAGCGCCTTGCTTGTGAGTGTGAAATCCCCTCTATCCCACGAGTGTGAACACCCACACAGCTCATTTCCAGGGGCAAAACGGGGAGCAAGTGTGTCCAAGCCCTGGTTGGGGGTTGCAGGGAGGATCTTACCAGCCAAGAGGAGGGGTGATCTGTCCAACGCCACCCGGAGACAGCGGGTAAAAGGTGGGGATGTCAGGGGCCGGAGGGTGTCTGGACATGCCTAAGAAAGAGAACAGAGAAGCAGTGTTTGCAGTCAGAAAGGCAAGCGAATGCTTTATGCCGTGAACACGTATGGAACATGTATGGTCGGGACAGCATTCTTTCATGAGATCCAATGAACAAAAGTCAGTCCATGAGTTTTGCTGAAGACGTAGACATCTGGAAAATCAGGATCTTCCAAATCTCCTGGAGGAATAAACCCGCTGCCAGGAAAACAGTCATCCAGACAGACTTTTCAAAGATTCGTTTTGCCCTCATTCTTTCATTTGGGAGAAGAAAGAGGCAGGCAGTTATTCTGAGGAGAATGGAAGCCAGTGGTCTTGTCTGGTGCTCGAGGACCAGGTGCGTCGTTGCCCTGTTCCTGTCTTCGCTGGTTCCCTCACGGGCACACAGATTTGTGCAGTGCAGCACCTCAGGGGATCAGAGATTAATTAGGAATCATCGGCAGTCCCACAATAGTCACACTTGATACGATTCATTTGGTCTCCATCCCTTGGACTCCCAGTAAGCCCCGCATGCAGCGGCGCCCTCCGGACACCAAGGTCACGCTGCCCTGGAATAGCTGTGTTCCCCAGGCGAGGACAGGTCAAGACAGTGTCCCCAAAGCTGTGAATACCACGTAGAGGTCACTCCTAATCCTCCTCCCAGAGGACCGCCTTTTGTGGACAGCTAACCTTATGTGCGAAAACCAACCAACTCCTCCAAACCCATACAGAACAAGACAATTTCACAAGATGTAAAATAAAAATTCAGACTTGATGTACTTGGGTGAAATTTTTCTGAAAAGAGCCACACAATCACTTGTCACAGCGAGTCGTGGCCTTGAAGGCCACGGTGGAACCCACACCCAGCACACGCCCAAGTTTAACACCAATGGATGGAAACACCCTGGCTGGTAGGCAGAATTGGGAGTGCATGCTCCCGAAGAGGCTCCGTGCCTGCCTACAATGCCTGAGAGCATCTTGTGGCTCCTGAAAGACACTGGAGGCCTTGGACATATGGTAATGACTTAAGAAAATGCTGCTTTCAAAGTGGTTGTTAATTTGACTTTGAAGTTTGAACAAACTACTTCTCAATTCTTACAGGAAGTAGGTAGAAAGAAGAAAGGTCTTAATCTCTCTCAACATTTTGCTGTTTTTAAAACAATTGTCTCAAATCTCCTTTTTAAAGTTTTTCATTTTTTCTTCTCCTAGAAATACTGATTCTTTTGATCCCAGTAGACCTTAAGTTCTACACCCTGGGATTTTTTTTCCTTGGGGCTGGAAAAGTTGCAGGGGCCTGTGCTAGTGATTGTTCAAGTCTCAGGTCAGGGGGAAGGTTTTTGTATCTGTTTTGATTTTTCTTTTTTAACTTGCTACCCTACTTGCTCTGAGGTCCAGAAATCTCCAAATGTCAGGGTCTGCTGATGTTTGAAACAAAAACAGAAGACAATACAACCAGGCCAGCTCAGTAAGGCATTAGAAGCTCAGCAGACGTTTTTATTATATGAACTTGAAAATCATGGCTGGGAGTCAGAGATACGCTGAATGATCAATTTAACCCCTGTATGTCACTAATGCGGAAAGTAAGGTCCAGGGACGTTAAGCGACATGCAGACTTCTTTTTGGGTACATATAAAATAGGTTTTGCTCTGGGACACAGAGAAGTGACCGCTTGTGGCTGTCCAAGCTCCTCTATGTTGGAAGGCACTGTGCTGGGCCTTGAGTCCACAGGACATGATGGCAAACTGGCTGGACTTGGTTTTTCTGCTGGGAGGAGGACGAAGGGAAGTAGCATTTACACCTGTGCGCCAGGTCTGATATGCAAATTTAGAATGACCGTGTCCACTGAAATCCTACTCGTCTGTGAAAGGCCCCTGTCCTGGGCAGTTCTCTCTCATTTTTACAGCGCTGAGAAATCCATTTCTTCTTGGGGTCTTCACCTACTTATCTGTATTTTTAACGTTGAACGTGGGTGTCAGGCATTTCATTTTACAATTATTTGCACAAATGACTTCCTTTATGTACAGGCTCTTGAGGAGAGCAGACCACACTACCAATCTGTGTGTCTGTGAAGGAGTCTCTCGGTAAATACTTCTAAATGACTTAGCAAACAAAAAAGTGAAATAAAAAGTGTTTAAACACCCACTCCCTAGGCTGGGCCGACACAGTTAAGCATTTTGCAGGTATATATGAGCATGTAGGTCATTATATGAGCAAAACGTGAAGCTCTGTCTCCTAAATAGCTCCTGACCTTTGTCTTCCTGTGCCCAAAGATGTGTTATCTCTCTGCCCACTGCTGTGTCCCAGAGATACACTCCACATTGCCTGTTAAACTACTGCTGATTGAGCAGCACAGCTTGAAGGATTTTGAAACTCTTCTAAGTAAGTCTGTGAGTGTAAGTAAAATAATTCTGGAGTCAGACTGTGTGAATTAGCCACTCACCAGCTGTGGATCTTTGAGGAAGTTCTTTATTTAGTTGTCACTGTTTTGTAGCATTTGAATAATAACAGAGGTTGTCATAAGTGTATGGGAAAGTACCTTCCACAAAGTATAAGTGTTTGTTTTTGTTTATGAGGTTAAAATAGGTAAGACAAAACTAGAACCAGTATTTTATAAAAGCTCTTTCCTTTTAATAATTGGACCAGACTGACAGCAGGAAAAAAGTTACTGACATTAACTTCCTTTCTCTTTCCTGTATACAGATGTAACATACACGGGGTGTGTGCGTGCAAAACTAATATGGTGACTCCCAGGGAATTAACCTGAGGTTGTTCTGTTTTTGCATGAATGAGAATCGGTCCCAAGGCAAACAGCTTGTGCCTATGGCCTGGTTCTTGAGAGGTCAGACATGGCTGTGCTCACCTTTTCCAGGAAAGCTGATCAGACTGCCAGGACCACAGGGCCCAGCCTGTGTCTCAGCCCCAACTCACTCTACCTGGCTGGGGATGCACCCACCCAAAAGGCCAGCAGCAGTGCAACAAGAGACCCATTGAGCCTAGATTTTTGGCCATGAAGGTACTCCGGTGTAATTACATAAACTCAGTATCATGTCAGAGTTTACAGTATCCCCAGAGGTACTGGATGATGAAGTACAAGGGGAGATAAAAAATACAGCGATGTTTAAATTTTAAAAAAGAAATTATTATACTAAAAAACACATTACCATGAATCCCCCTCATGGTCTTCCACCTCACTTCAAGCACACTTACCTCATTGCTCTTGCCACTTTCTGAAGCAGTATTTTTCTAGATGTTTTTACAAGGTGTGATCAAAAGTACTGTGAATGCTGCTGCCATGTGCCATCCAATAGAAAGGCAGGTTCATAAAAACATGACGCTGTGTCCTCGCCTGACTCATTCACTGGATCTGGCACTGCGGGACTTGTGGCTCCCCTCAAAGTCAAAATGACCACAAAAGGAAAACGTTTTGAATGGATTCAGGATATAGAGGCAGCCAGGACAGCACAACTAAAGACACTCAGGAAAGAGGACTCCAGAGCTGCTGCAGAACGTGGCAAGAACCATGGGGAATGTGTCTGAACCCAGGGCTGGGTATTCTGAGAGGCATTCATGCAGTGTGTGTCTTTTACTGTAATATAATTTTTTTTATGTGAACACACACTATGTTTCTTCCCCCTCACAACTCATACACAGATCCCAGCACAAATCTATAATTTAAAACAGGATCATTATGCACAAATAGTATGTGGAAGACCAAAATCACAAAAATTTGTAAACTTAAAACAAGACTAGAGAGACAGCAAGCAGACAGCTTCTGGTCATGCCACTAGTCCCTCCCTGGTAGTTCTGCAGTTTGTTTAAAAAAAAAAACCCTTTGAGAAGCAAGGGTATAAATTACAATTCAGCAAAAGAAGTTAGGAAACCAGGAGGGATGGAAAGAGGAAACATAAATATGACTGGTAATCAGTCACAAACTTGTCTCTTTTTAAAAGTGAACTAAGCCTAGAATCCTCCAGAGAGAAGCTACTAAACCACGAAGTGTTATTCTTTTGAATCAGCACTTCCAACAAGGCCTAGGACGCAATAAGGACTATTTGTTAAATAAATAAATGAATATTGAAATACCGCTGGACTCTTTGCTGCATGCTTAGGGTCTGTATCTGTCTGTCATCCACATCTTCATGGTTCCAGGCAGACTCCTATCTCAGCACCCAAACTCACGGTGACCGGATCATACTTCCCCGCCCAACTCCGCCTCTTCCTCAGCCTCCTATCTCAGCTCCCCTTCTCATGGTGTCCCCACAGGCCTGTCCCTCTGATGTTCCTTAGGAAAACTGGAACCTCTGCACATGATTCCTGCCTTCATAATGGAAAGGTCCTTGGGATCCACTCAAGTCCAAGTGCAGCAGTAACTAAGTCTGAAGGAAGCGTTTACTTCAACAGTGGAAGAGCTCAAGTCACACAGTGTTTAATACAGGAGTGGGACTGTCCTGTGGATACTTGTTTTTTGTTTGGGACAGGGTCTCACTATGCAGCCCAGGTTAACCTTAAACTCACTGTGGTTCTCTTGCCTCAGCCTCCTGAGTGCTGGGTTACAGAGTTGGGCCACCATACCAAGCTAAAAACCACTTGTTTGTACATGTTCCTTCAAAGCTGCTGTGCATTATAAGCCCAGCTGGACAGAAGAGTGAAATGCAGGCAGGGCAAATTCTACACTTTTGTGTTCTCTGCTTTCAAGAGGTTTTATGAGGTCTTTTATCTTGAACTCTGAACACCCTGTTAAAGTCAAGTGTGCGGTGCAGAGGAAAAGCAACAGCTGTCCTGACGACAAGCTGTCCTGGAGGTGGCCCTGGGGACGTGGGGCCAGAGGTCAGGACAACCACAGCGCTTTGTCTTTTATCAGCCCATGCCCAGGCACATCAGGCAAACTTGGACAGTTAGCATTTTCAGGCCAGACCTTCTCTAACGTGTTTCTTTCTGTACAGGAAGTGGAAGTGGAGCTTGGAATCCCTGTAAAGGAGCCAAAGAGAATCCACGCTGCTCTGACTTCCATAGACATAGTTTTATGCTTAATTTCTTATAAGGGTGCTGCTAAATAACAAAAAAAGGATAACTTCAAGTAGGAGCAAAACTGAATAACCGGAAGAACTGCAAGAGGCTTGAAGGTAACATATCTAAAGCTATAGTCTCCTACTTTGCCCCTTTTTTGCTGTTTAACTATAAAAACATCACCTTCAATGCTTTGCACACTCATCCCCCTTAGCCAAAGTTCTAACAATACTGGGTGGAAAATTCCAGAAATAAACACTTTTAGAAGTGTTAAACTGAGCACTGATCTGATGAATTCTGTGCCACCCCATTCTGCCCCCGAGATGTAAATCGCCCTTCTGTCCCATACGCAGCTGCCGGAGCACTGAGCTGTGGACTGAGTTATCACATCGGCTGACCTCAGCATGACACTGCTGTGCCTGTGGTAACGTCACCCTTACTATACTTGAAAATGGCCCTGAAGGACACAGAGTTACCCTGGGAAGTTCAAATACGCCGAGGCAAAGTCATGAAATACTTCTAAGTGGAAAGGTGAAAGTTTGGGCTTCACAAGGAAAAAAGAAAAATATGATGATGCTACGAAGATCTACAGTATGGAAAAATCATTTGTGAAAAAGAAGGACACGAATTGTGCTAGTTTTGCAGTCCTGCTGCAAACTGCAGAAGTTTTACTCGCAGCTCATGTAACTGCTTGGTTAGGATGGAAACGTGTTACTGGTGTGCTTTGGTACCCAGGGGCCAGGGCCGGGTCCCCGAGGGTGGGGACAGAGACAGGGACAGGCCCCCGAGTGTGGCACTGCTGTCCTGCTGAAGTGCACCGCAGAGCACTGGGCTATTTGCTTGCATGTACAACACATTAGTTTGTACCGTGACACACAGATTTTCAGAGCTGTCACTTGGAAAATGACCCTACTATACTTTTTTTATTTTCAATCCTGACAAAGAAGCAACAACAAACTTTCTGGGTCCTGTAAAGCACCAAGCTCCTCTTGTTCACAGCTGCCTTTCCATCCAGGCCATGACCCAGAGCAGAGGTGCCTGAGGGTCCCAACTCACAGGGGCCTGGGCTGGTGGTGCTCACCTTGCTTGGAGTTGACATCGGACCGGATGTGTGGCGGGTGCGAGCCCGGAGAGAAGTGCTCGTCGCTGTAGGTGATGAGGGGCGTGAGGGGGTGCACTGCATGCGAAGGCTGCACCACGGGCACTTTGTTGGACTGCAAAGAAAGCACAAGGTCCACGGTTAGTGGGGTGTCCGACTCTTATCTCCTCTGCCCCTCAACATCACCCAAGAGCAGAGACCAGTCATCAATGTAAGCAAAACTCAGAAGCACTCCAGACTGCGCAACTGAGCCGGCCCATGGAGGCCCCTACACTGTCTCTCAGAAAATCTGCTCCAAGTCCATGAATGTCCCCCAAAGAGACCTGGCTACTTCCCCAGGGCCTGAGAGATTTAGGTCCGTTACCCGGGTTCCAGGACTCTCCACGCATACTTATGCTTGTTTACAGGCCAGTTTTATTACTTACCCTGGACGTTTGAAACTACACGACAGTAACACTTACTAAACATCCAGGTAATCTCTTTGGACTTCATCAACCTGTAATCTGTGATCATTCTGATTGCAGACAAAATTAAAGTCCACCACCCCACTCCCAGGCGCTAAGCAACTCAGTAAAGGCAACTCTGGGTAACCTAATGGGGAGATTGTTTTAAAGAAACTCTACCCAATGATAACACATAGCATTTTTGGAAAATGCTACGGGAGTGGATTCAAGTGTTCTCACCACAAAAAATAACGGTTATTTAGGCAGATTCAACTACTCCACAATGTACACATAATGCAAAAAAAGTATACATTAGAAATACAATTTTATGTTAGTTAAAGAACAATAAAGAAGAAAAAGGAATTCTACCCTTCCCTCAAAGAAAAGAGACCGAACACAATTATATACAGGTAAAGGATGCCTCTGATGTCACACCCAACTACTAATTACAGCCATCTCCGGAAGGTCTCATTTGGAAGCACTTTAGTAGTGAGTAACGTGGGCTTAGGATGAACAGAATGTAATGAATTCGCTGGTTCGGGCACGCCTGCACCATAATCACTTTGAATTACAGAGACTTGACGGTACTGTGGATGTACAGCTATATCTGAAGTCAGTTTCTCCAGCAAATATTCATAGTACTATTACTTTTTTCAAAAAAAAAAAGAGCAGTGCTGCAAACAGCACACAACTCGAACTGGTTAAAATGTAGGTCCATGTCGCCAATGGGGGCCACATCTATGGTGTGCACTAATTTCGGATTTGATGCTTTTTACAAATTACATGCTGAAGTATGCAGCTCCAAGGGGAAGGCCTACCCTCAGGAAAGTTAGGAGCAACCAGCCCGGTAACACTTCACTCTTTCTGCACCCTATCATTACAACCTCCACCCAACAACTTGCAGGGGGCAGAGGTAAAGGGAGGGAAAATCACCCTTTTTTGGACAACGATGTAATTTCCATTCTAGATTTTCTCTACTTTGTAATTATCAGCTCCTCTCTAATGGCCGAACTTGCATAACTCGCAGAGCCCTTGGCGTTTATTAAATTGTGTACCATTATCAAAACCACACGGTTTTTCTCCACACACCTCAGCACATCCATGCATATGAACGTGTAAAATGTTTTTAAAAATCTTTTAATGCTTCTCCAGTGTCAACGACGCAGTCTGCCAAATACACAGAACAGGGCCCTGAAATACAAGGTATGAAAATGCTGAGCAGGGTGGGTGGACTGGGACAAGGACAGGCTGCTGTTAGTATACATTCTTTTTAAGATGGAAAAGAAGAACGATGCCCAAATGCTCAAATGAATGTCTCAACTGCAGAAGGGCTACTTTGACCTTCATTCTGAGAGTCTCCAAAGAAGCACAACTGCAAAACATCTACAAAAATATTTTCTTGGGGTGGTTATAGGTAAGCGGTGCAGAAATCTTTGGGGAATCTACACATTACCCCTGCTTTTCACATGCCTTTCTCATTTCCCAAGCACCACCTTAAGGAACCTGCAGTAGCAGGCAGCATTTTAATGTCTGACCTCTCCCTCCAGTCAAACAGCTCTGAAGCCGATGCCATGAATTTTTGCTAAATTATGCTATCCTTGCTCTCCTCTTAATTTTACGGTTTTCAACACAGATTTGCTTTCCTGTGGGAAGGAGATAAGAAGCTGAGGATTTTAATTTAAGCTCTGGCCTTGTTTTATATTTTGCAAGATGGATAGCAAAAGCAGTACTAGTAGGTGTGTTACAGCCAACAAGTATCACATCCATTTTGGTGGCCAAATAATAAAAGCAATATGAAATCTCAACAATACACGTGAGCGGAATTCTAAGGGTCCTATTTTTGCCTTCTGCTGTCCATCTCCACCGAGAGTATACACGGAACAAAGTGGATTCCAACCCCGCTGCAGATACCTGACACAGCGCCAGACAGTCAAGTGTCCGCAGCCCTGGGGAGTGGGCGTCCGATGCCCAGAGTCACTGCCTTTGATGTCACTCTACTCACACACGAAGTGTGAGCCCTGCTGCCCCAGCTGATTCTCACAGAGACAACGTGGCCACTCTGAGTCCCACTGTTCCGATCTCCAAACAGTGTGGTGCATTTTCTGGTGCGGAATGAGAGAGGGGAAAAATAGCCAACCCCTCCCCTCGGTCTCTGCAGACCAATGTGCAGAACTGTACTGTGATGCGCAGCTGTCTGTGCAGGTGTATGCGCATGTGCGTGTTTGCGAAGCACCCGAGATGTTCCCAGCACTACTGCAGCATTGATAATAAACACAAGGGGCAAGGTCCTGGGGCTTGTTCTCGTGCAGCTTGCTTCCCAGGGGTCTAGAAGCTGGGACAGACAGCAAGAGCTAAGTAACGGGTCAAACAGTATGTTTTAAAAATAAAACAAGCAAAATCTGAAAAGAAAGCATCAAGAATGGTGAAGAAAGTGAACCGGTTGATGGGCGAGGTGGTGTAGATCTACACCTATGCGTTTAGATGGTGGCAAAGCTCTAAGAAGCCCCGAGCCACAGAGTCCAGCTGCTTTCTGAAGGAAGCTGAGAAACAGAGGTCCCTGTAGAAGGGGTGTGGAAGCCAGGGCCCTGGCAGCACTCAGCACAGCAGGGCACTGCTCAGTCCCCAGCCCAGTGACAGACGCGCTGATGACACCACAGAGAGAGAGCCCTAGGCCTCTTGATTCCCTGCACTGCCGCTGCAGGGAGGAGAAAGTCAGCCTAGGGCTCTTACTCTGTGCTGGGCGCCAGACACCCAGAATCTCACTTCCTGTAGCCAGGTCTCCTGAGCTCTCCTCAGAAAGGAAGGGGCGGGGGCTGCTGGTTTTTAGTAACAATCACAGCAGCCACCACTGCTGGAGCACTGCTGTGTGCTCAGTCTCTACCCTCACAACACCCACGGGGTGGGTACTGTCACTGTCTCCCTCCCACGTGGGGGACAGGCTGGGAGAAGCTACGTGACTTTCCTGAGGACACAGAGGTAAGGCCCGGCTCCCTAGGACGGACGCCAAGCCTGCTGCCAGCACAGCCAAGTTTGTGTGGTCCTGGACATGGAGCTGACCGCCTGGACCGTCCTCCATGGCATGTGGCATCAGTGAAATGTTGTGTGGTCTCTGTCCTGACCCAGGGGTTACAGTGGATAAAGAGGGACCTCAGCGTGGTGGTCAGAGCTGTGGAGACTCAAGGGCTGCCTTTCTCCAAGATGAGGACATTGTGGGATGCTGCCTGGCTGCTGCCCAGTGGGGCCCTGCAGGTGACACCACAGCTGATAAAACCCACACTGCCTGTGGACACTGAGTGGGTGCCACTTAGAGGCCTGAGAGCCACTCCCACAGCAGCATTCCCAGAAATGACCCGTGCGCGCTGGCAGGAGCTCAAGGTGCCGTGAAAGCTGTCAGCCTAGGAGTTTGTGGTTCTGGGAAAGGCAGAGAGTGGCTCAGCTCCCTGCTGGGAAGGGCCCCGGAGCCATGTCCCCTGTAGCCGCACTGCTACCCAAGCCAGAGTTCGGGGCCTGCCCGCAAGACAGGCCATGGGCCCACTCCAATAGCTGGCATTTATTTCATCCACGGTGCTCCCAGTAACCGCAGAGCACAGGGTTAGGATGAGGAATGCTTCATCTCGCTGCAGCCCTTCTGGCGGCACTGGATTTCTTTTCCTGGACTCTGAAGACACCTGGCACTTATGAAGTAAAGCCACTTCCTCACTGTGGGCCAAGTCTGAGGTGCCCAAGCACCGCACACCCAGGTGGACATGGTGATTTTCCCCCAGCTCGGTGTCAAAGTCCATGCTCCACACCGCACACAGCTCTGCGTGCACCTAAGCCGAGGGCCTGGGGCAGCCACCGTGGCTTTCAGATGTGAGGGCGTCCTTGGCTATGACGCAGTCCAGGTGACCAGGAGGAGTGCGACATGCTTCCTCCCGGCTCTGAGGAGCCCAGATTCCCGAGCCTGTCATCCAGTGCCTGGAATGCTTTCCTGCAAGGGGAAGGACCCTGTCACTGTCACAGGGGAAGGGATCCTACGGATGGACACGGCGTGCTCAGCGAGGCTGGGCTCTTCCAGCCACAGCAGCAAGTGGCTGTCAATGCAGGGAGGGTCCTGCTGCTGCTGGCTGGATCTGCTGTCCCTGCTCCTCCCACCCCACACAGCATGGTGCTCAGCTCCTCTCCACCTGTCCCAAGCCATCCTGCTCAGTGAGCGCGGCCAGCTGTGGCTCTGCCGGATAGGAGCACCCAGCCATTCAGAGATGACTGCTGTCACCGAAGGACCCAGAAGGACCACTGGCTAAGCTGCTCTAAAGCAAAGCAAGCCCCGAGCACCCACTCCACTCCAGGTCTCTTGAAGGAAGCGATAGTGAACCTTTAGAGACTGAATGCCCAGATTTTGACCCCAAACCCACTTATTTATCACAGAGTGCAAGCACTGCAATTAAACCTGAATATCCAGTGCTCGGCTGCCGGGACCATGCTGGAGCAGCTTGGCTCTCATGCTGACCAAGATGGCTCTGGGTGTGTCCCTAACTGTGCTCAGAGCACCCACTGAATTTCTCGGACTCGGTCCTCATCTGCAAAATGGGAGCTACTGACTCAGAGGATACCAAGGAACAACGAAAAGAACATCTAACTTGGGTCCTAGCACATCGTATGTACTCAACAGACACTAGTGGAATGGATTAAA